TCCTCACGTGATGGAAAGGGACGAGGGGACTCTCTGGGGTCTCTTTTATAAGAATAGTAATCCTATCATGAGGGCTCTACCCGCATGACTGCATCACCTCCCAGAGGCCCACCTCCTGATACCAACACATTGGGCTTTAGGGTTTCAACATATGAATTTGAGGGGGACACAAAGATTCAGACCAAAGCAGACTAGAACCCAGAGCCTCTGGGGACAGACCTGGGGGCCTTCAGAATGCACCACCCGTCCTTCCCAAAGGTCAGCCTCACCTGTGCAGGTGGCAGTTTGGCCTGGGACCTTCCAAGTTTGGAAACCGAAGACTTTATCATATAGTATGTAGAGCTTGACTCTTGCCATTGGGGACGGAGAGTCCCTGCTGGGGCCTGAAGCACCCCCTGCTCTCTGTCCTGGCTCTGGGGCTCGCTCCGACTTTCCCTCCCGGCAGACAATGGCTCCAGGGGCATCAGGAGAACCCAGATTCAGCCTGTACCTTCCCAGCGCCAAGATTGGGGCTGCAGGGCAAGCGGAGGCCGAAAAGCATGTTCCAGCCTCTGCCTGAGTCAACAGCATCCCCTGGAAATCAATTCACAAACCCAGTTTGGTTTCTAGGGGGTATTTGAAAAAAAAAATTAATTTTTCCCAGCATCTGAGGTTGTCATCCAGCAGCACACCTCAGTGACAACCCTCACGTTCTTTCCTCACAGCATGTCTCTGGCTCTTTCTGAGGCCAAACCCAAGATCAAATAATGAATCATGTTTTATCCAGGCTTCTATTTCTACACAATGCTGATTAAAACAATAACTGGACGTTTAGTTGAGCTAAGTCATGAGACAGGTTATGAAAACTCTTTCCATGGTTCAAGATTAAGTCTCATAGAGAAGGGAGCATGTTCCGAGAAAATGGCCTCTCTTCAGCATCAATCAGAGCCTAATTGTGGCTGTTGGGCTGGGATAGCTTAGATTCCAGCCTCAGAAATCGGGATTGAACAAAATGCCCTTGATCACCTTGGGATTCTTGTTTTCCTGTCTGCCTGGATACTGTCCATTCCAAGAGCTGTAAGAAGCAAATAGATCATAAGTAATGCACCATATAAACTGAACAATATTGGCCAAAGAAAAGTAAGAGGGCTTCCCTGGTGGTGCAGTGGTTGAGAGTCTGCCTGCCGATGCAGGGGACACGGGTTCGTGCCCCGGTCCGGTAAGATCCCACATGCCGCGGAGCGGCTGCGCCCGTGAGCCATGCCTGCTGAGCCTGCGCGTCCGGAGCCTGGGCTCCGCAACGGGAGAGGCCACAACAATGAGAGGCCCGCGTACCACAAAAAAAAAAAAAAAAAAAAAAAAAAAAAAAACAAAGAAAAGAAAAGTAAGAATTTCACCATGTAGGTCCTTTCTCTGCAGGCCTAGGTGCAGAATGTTGAAATGGGGCAGGGCCTCCCAGTTTTGAGCCTTTATTAAAAAGACTTAGACGCTGGCCCTAAAACCTGGCCCTGGTGACTCAACTATCAACATGAGTTTAATGCTTTCCCTGGCAAAGGCTTAGCTGTGGGATATGCCGATTTCAATCCCCCCTCCCATGGTGGCCTGTTGCCTCTGCAGGGTAAAGTTACTTGTAGGATTCTCAGAGGCGCTGCCTGTAACTCCAGCAATCCTCTAATTACGGTATAGTATTTGGTGAAAGGGTGTGTTCCCGCGGGGTGAGAAAGCACACACACCACGGGGGTGGCAGCTGACCCGTAGCCCTGTTGCAATAGCTGTGCTGTGGTCAGTGCTTGGCTGTAGCCAACACATGTTCGATTCCCTGAGTCAGATAAGAATGGCTCTTAGGAGAGGCTGGTTGTTTCTAAGGTGGAAGGTGAAACCCCAAGGGAGGGAAGAATAACTAAAGGCGGTAATCAAGCTGCTCTGCAAGAGGAAGAGGGAGATTTCTTGGGTTTTGCTTGAAGGGATAAGGGGGCGTGAGGGGCGGTGAGGCTCTGAGAGTGGGGAGGGGCTGGAAAGGGGTCATCAGGGAGGGTGGTGGTCGGGGAACTCAGGACAGAAGAATCTAAGTGTGTAAGTGGTTTGCTGTGATGTCTCTTTATCCGAGTCCCATGGATCACTAGTGATTTCCCGGAGAATTAAAAGAGGGGCTGACTCCTGCCTCTGGACTAGCTGGAATAAAAACATTTACTGGCTGCAGTAAAATGGTGCAGAGAACAGTATGGCGGTTCCTCAAAAAACTCAACATAGTATTAGCATAGGATCCAGCAATTCCACTTCTGGGTATCCTTCCAAAAGAAGCAAAAGCAGGGACTTGAACACGTACTGTGCACCTGTGTTCATAGCAGCATTATTCACAAGAGCCAAGAGGTGGAAGCAGACCAGGCATCCATCCATGCATGAAAGGGTAAGCCAAATTCGATGTATACGTTCCATGGAATATAATTCAGGCCTAGAAAGGAAATTCTAAGATGTGCTACAACGTGGAAGAACCTTGAGGCCATTGTGCTGAGTGAAGTATGGCAGTCACGAAACGCTAAATACTGTCCTGATTTCACTTACACAAGGTAATTGGATAGTCAAATTCACAGAGACAGGGGCTTCCCTGGTGGCGCGGTGGTTGAGAGTCCGCCTGCCGATGCAGGGGACACGGGTTCGTGCCCCGGTCCAGGAAGATCCCACATGCCACGGAGCGGCTGGGCCTGTGAGCCATGGCCGCCGAGCCTGCGCATCCGGAGCCTGTGCTCTGCAACGGGAGAGGCTACAACAGTGAGAGGCCCGCGTACCTCAAAAAAAAAAAAAAAAAATTCACAGAGACAGAAAGGAGAATAGTGACTACCAGGGGCTGAGGGGAGGGAAAATGGTGAGTTATTATTTAATGGAGACAGAGTTCCAATTTTGCAAGGAAAAAAAGAGTTCTGCAGATGGTTGGTGGTGACAGCTGCACAACAATGTAAAAGTACTTAATGCCACTGAACTGTACACTTCAAAATGGTTAAGATGGTAAAATTTTATGTTCTGTGTACTTTAACACAATTGAAAAAATCCTGGGGGAAGAAAGCCTCTTAGCCCTGTACATTTTGCTCAGGTTTCTTCAGGGGCTGAGAAAACTCATTTCTTTATGGATTTGGCTTGATTACAGTGGAGTTACCTCTTAAGCGGGGACTCAGTTTAGGGTTTAAGTGTGGAGTCCCCCTTGGAAAATTCCTGTGTGGCCCACAGAGTAGGTGGGAAGGGGGCCAACACTGCTGCTTTTCCTTGTAGCCCTGGAACAAACACTGTGTCTTTGAGCATCAGGTGCAATGTGGATTTACATTCATGAGTCATAATGAAAGACGTCTTGCAAGCCAGTCCTAGGGTGGGCTGCTCACGCTGTGATGGGCCCTCAGGACCTAGCTTACTGAGAAAACAGAATGATCAGCCTCTTCTGGTGTTGGGCTCCAACAAGTGGAGGCATATGCATCACCTTCCCCACTGGAAGCCGGTTCCTTCCCCTCATGCAGAGGCGAACGCCTCCAAGCTCAATGGGTGTGTGAGGTGTCTCCACCGAGGTGGCCTTTGTCCAGCCCAAGGAACCTGGACAGATGCCTTACTATCAACGCCCCCACCCCCACCCACCTTTCAGCTGACTCTGATGGGTTTTCAACACTAAATTGCTCTCTGACCTTGGACCAGACCTATTGGCCATAGAAAAATGGCCCCTTCCCCCCACCAGGCCTCCCTGCTGACCACATCTCGCAGGCACTTCCAGACACCTGCTCAAAACTGAAATTCCCCAACTTACAAGGATCTTTTCAGATTGAAGATGCAATCCCTGAGGCCAATTCCGTGGTTCATATCTGAGCCATAGGGTTCCTAGCTTTCAAAGAGATCTATCTTCAAATTACAGGATACCCCAAAGAGAAGTGGTTCAAGCCAAACTCACAGAAGACGCAGTGGTGTGAGCCGGCACTGACTTTCAGACAAATTGGGCCCCCATCTCCTTCAGAAGGGCTTAGGCGGCACCTATAGCCCAGTTCTAGGCATGGCTGGAGACTCCAAATAAGTGAATGAATGACCAGCTGCCCTCTGGTGAGCCCGCCAGCATTGATTTGGCACTATTCTAGATCAATACAATTTCTGATTGGCAATACATTTGGGTTGTGATGCCCAAGGATTGAGAAGTAAACTAATGAACAGGACGCTATGAATTTTAACCCCGTTTTGCCATTAAATACTTTGCTGATCCCCAGGCAAGACTTTCTGTCTTGGTTTTTCTCACCTATAAACTCTGTATAAAAGAGATCTGTAGAAGTGCATCAAAACATGGAAGAGAGAAAACAGAGCAATGAAATGCTTATTGGTGAAGCCGCTAATTTTTCTACCCCGAAATGCGCTTGGTTCCAAGGCCGAATTCTTAAATGTTTAAAATGCATTTAAGACAGACATTCTTAAGAATGCAGACATTCTTAAATGTTTAAAAGATAAGGTGACGGCATACCCACCACCCAACATAAGATACAAAACATCATCAATAGAGTTGAAGCCCCTGAATACCTTCCCCAATTTCAGTCCCTGCTTCCTGCCCAAAGGCAACCGTGCTCCTGAATCTGGACAAACTTGATAACCACTGCGCTACAGAAATGACGCCTGAATTTGGTATTTATCATTCCCATGCAATTCTTTATACCCTTACTCCATTTATGTATGTATGTAAACAGTGGGACAGCTGGAAATACTTTTAAGTCAGGACTGACACGCATGTCTTCCAGAAGGATTTTGACACAGTATCTATCTTAGCACAAAGGATTGTTTGGCAAGCACATCCTTATTTGTCACCTCACTCTCTGTGTCTTTTCACCTCCCTGAGCTGGGAACGGGCTACTCTCTCTAGGTGGACCCCAAATGGTGATGCGAGCCCTTCATTAGGTCTCCTGTTAACGGGCCTGGGCCCGTCCAGGACTATGGAGCTGAAGCACCGACCCCCCACCCCTCTCCCCGGCCCAGCTCGGCGCTGATGCCTCCCCCGTCTTCCCTTGCAGACGGAGATGCGGCTCCAGGACCAGCAGCTGGCCCGGCAGCTCATGCGCCTGCGCAGTGACATCCACAAGCTGAAGATCGAGCACACCTGCGACCTCCACCGGCGGATGCTCAACGACGCCACCTACGAGCTGGAGGAGCGGGACGAGCTGTCCGACCTCTTCTGCGACGCCCCGCTCGCCTCCTCCTTCAGTCTCTCTGCGCCACTCAAGCTCATTGGGGTCACCAAGATGAACATCAACTCCCGCAGGTTTTCTCTGTGCTGAGAAGCCCTAGACGGGGCGGTGGAGCCGGAATGAGGGTTTGGGAGGTGGACGGTGGGGGGCGGCGGGAGGGGGGCGTGGGAAGGAAGCTGAGGCCCAGCTACCCGAGCGGGTCTCCCCGGAGGCAGGGCGTCCCCAGGACCTGTGACACGTGCTCTCAGGGCCCAGCTGTGGAGCTCAGTGTCCCCATGCCTGGCCCTGGTTTAATACCCAAAGAGTCCTGCAGAAGGGCTGCCGCATCCCCTGTTCAGTGAGACCTGGGTCCCCAGGGCACATGTCTCATCCTCCCCTTAGTGACCCACATTCCTGTTTCCGGAATCACTGGTGCTATGACCTGGGAACCCAAAGGGGGACCAAAGCTGTGATTCTTGCAGAAGGCTTCCCCAGGGGCACCGACCCCCAGGGGGAGGTGATTAGATGTCAGCTGCGCCCATGTCACTGTTGCTGTCCTCTAAGTACTGGCTCAAATTCACCCTAAGTGGGTGACTCAGCAGCCTCGACAGGGACCCACCAGCAAAGGAAGACCAAAAGGAATAACACATGGAGCTTGGGGAAGCAGGCCCCAGAGCCGCAGCCAGTGCCCCGGATGAGGTCTTCGACCTCGGCCCTACAAGTGCGGGGTACACTGTTTCCAGTGTGTGGTCCCACCAGTGTAGCTGGGGGGGGAGCAGGCACACCCGCCCTCTGCTGCCTGCTCTGGCCACATACACCAGTCCCAACCTCCAAAGAGCCCCTTTGCTGCCACGCCACAACCCTGGGGAGCGCCTAGGAGTGGATTTCCCTTGGGGGGGGGGGGTGCAGCAGAGGCCTCTGGGTGGATTCCGACGGTGTCACCTCCGTCACCTTCGTACCCTCCCCAGAAGCTCGCCCTGAGCCTCCACTGAGATTCTGTGCCTGACTTAAACAACTAATTTTAATTGAATCAGACTGTTACTAACCTGTGGCTAACTTGTCAATAACTGTTTGATTTTTGTCCAAATGACGAAGCCAGTGGGTGGGTCAAGTACAGAGGTTCAGGGTTTGATTTTAGAAGATTCTCCCTCAGGACAAGTGGGAGGATCGGTAAGGTAAGGACGGAGACCTCAGCAAGTTAGGAAGTTACCCCAGTAGAACGCCCTGTGCGGGGGGGTGGGGTGGGGGGTGGGGGGGGGTGGGCTGACCTTTGACCCATCTAGCCGAGCCCTCTGCTTCATAAGGGAGTGAGGCCAGGGGAAGGGAGTGGTCTCCCTCAGGCTCCACGGCTCTTTAGCGGCTGTAGAATATTGATGTGTTAATAATAATCATCATTAATTATGCGACATAGATCACGTATCCATGAACTTGAACTCCAAAGATGGTACTAATGCTTTGCCAAACCCACGAACTGCCAACTGCCACTCTCCACTCAGCCCTGTCACCCCCAGAGTTACGATTCCTACTGCCGTCTGGGTTCCATTGTCGATGTGAGGCATCTTGTTGCTCTGTCTTTCATGCTTTGTCTTCCTGTAGAATTTCAGTGGGGCCCAGGCACACTCACACACACACACACACACCATGACCCACACTGGGGAGCGGTTGTTTTTCTCTTGTGGGCCAGCAGTGGGAGTTTGTGGATGATTGGTCCCTAGTTAGAAAAGAATTTGGTGTTTTCTTGTGGCTTCCAAGAGCCGGAGGGTTTACGCTTCCTTCAAAGACGGTATTACCACGTAGCCAAGATCTGTTTTTCCTTCGGCTCTGAGCAGTGGCAGAAGTCTGAGGCTCAGAGCATTTGTCCATGAAGCCCTCAGTGGAAGGCTAGGCCTCCTCAGGCCGGCTCCTCCCCAGGCAGGAAGGAGGGAGGTTTTCTCTAGCTAGTTGATGCCTCTCCTCAGGGGTTCTGTCTGAGGGCTGCCAAGTCCTACAGAGGCGTGCCCGCCAGGCGTCCTCCAGAACGGCCCTTGAGGTCTTGGGGTGGCCGGCCAGCCTGCACACATGCTCTTCAGAGACGTGCACATACACACACTTGAACCCACACAGGCAAGCGCATTCCACAACTGAAAAAAAGGCCAAACTGATTAGTTTTCTTTCTAGGAACCAGTCATTACAGTAACTAAAAAAGCTGGGTCCAGCCACAGCTGAGTGATTTACCTGAATTTCGTCAACCCAGTTGAGTTGAGTCAACTGGGCAATTTAGTTGCTCAGTTGACCTAATGATTCTTTGAGATCAAGAACACTTGATGGAATAGGTTTTGCAATAGGCGCACTTTTTGGAATAGGTTAGATGTCTCAGCTGTTGTGCTTAGTTCATGCCAAGGGAATTTTATTTTGGGATAAGAGGGGAGAAGTCAGGAAGAGAAGTGCGGGGAAAAGACAGGTGTGTTTTCTTACTCGCTGTCCAGTGTCTGTTAGCGTCCTTATTTCCACGGCGAACACAGACAACTAACCAAGTCAGTTCGGCTTTGTGAAGTCCCTGCCTCCTGTGGGTCAGGAGACGCCTGAGTCAGTCGCAGCCTAACCTGCGTGCCCAGCTCCCCAGGGCAGCCTTCCGGATTTACCACGCGTATACGATACTGTTGCAGTTTTACTCATTATCTACCCGTCTCCCTGCCATCCCTCAAGGACCCCTGGGTGTAAAACTCGAAGTCTCCATGACACTGCCTAGCAGGGTGATGTCTGACGCCTTCGTGGGCTCAGCAGTGATCACAGGCCTGGGGAGCCCGGGCAAGCTTGAGATGACCTGACCCAGCCTCAGGCCTCCTCCCTGTAGCAATACCAAGTGCTATTATGTAATCGATGGACAATTTATAATTTTATTTTTTATGATTGTTTGTTTCTATATTGCTGTTAGAAAAAGTGAAATTAAAATATTTCAAAAGAATATATTTATAAAGAGGAGAAATGTGCTTCCTTTTACCTTGTTCCTGTTACAGCACACACAGGGCCAAGCACTAAATTGAAAGAGAAGGAAGTGGGAGGAGGGAGGGAGGGAGGCCTGGAGGGAGGAACAGTCACCTGAGTCACTTTCCTTCCTTTATGGCACCTTCCCCCAAGGAGGGCTGCTTGGTGGTGTCGCCATCAGGAGCTTCCCGGTGCGGGCTCTGTGAGCTCAAGATGTGAAACTGAGAGATGCAGGCATTCATTATTCCTGAATTTGACCAAGGCCAGAGCCAAAGCAAATCCACCCTCTCTTACATTAGCCACTTCCAAAGGTGACTCTGATTGGATTCAGAACATATGGGTCAAACTCAGAGCACTGCTGGATAGCGGACCCACAGGACATGTATTTCAAATCACAGTCTATCATCCAAGTACGGGGCTTAGCCTTACTGTCCTGTGTGGAGAACTCGTGTCAGACTTTTTCAGCATCTTAAGTGGCAGTGCTCAAAATGAAGCCTGCATGAGGATCACCTGGGGCACCTGCTGCAAATGCACATTCCCAGGAAATTCCTGGGCTCCACTCAGAGGTTCTGGTGTGCAGCTCTGGCACTGGGCCTAGGAATCTGTTTTTAACAAACACTCCAGGAGACTGACACAGGTGGTCTACAGACACTTGGAGAAACCTTTAAAGGGACAAAGCAGACAGGGAAGGCATGTCTTGAATGGCTCCTGTCGCTCATTCCCGGGAGAAGTCCATGTCTGCAGGTCAGAGCAGGTGTTAGGAATCCCATTCTGTAGAAGGAACAGCTGGAGAGAAGCACTCTAGCCGTCCCTTGAGATCATATCACCTGCTTACACCAAGCGGATGAGTGACTGGGATCTATTTCCTGCAGAGAGCTCCCAGTATGAATTGACTGCATGGAGCACAGGTCATGAGCTGAAGGACGGATGGGCACCTGGAGATCTGCCAGCACCATCGGCCATGTAGTTCAAAGGGCACTCGAGAAGCCACTGGGCCTTTCCACCCCTGCAGACGGGACTGTACACTTTTTCAGCCCAAAGGGAAATGACTCTAATTTGGCCTCCAAACAAGTTAAATACTTTTAAGTGCCACAGAGAAGGTAAAAGGTGACAGCAGTGTCCTGCCTTGTGTGGGAGAGGGCTGCTTTTACCACGTGGTCAGGGAAGGCTTCTCTGAGAAGGTGCTATTTCAGCTGAAACTGCAGCCATGCAAAGATCAGGAAAAAGAGTGTTCTGGAGAGAAAAACAAGGACCCAGATTCTGAGGCGGGAGGGAGTGTGGTGGGCAGTGTGGCTCGAGTGGGGTCAGCCTCGTAGGTCAGAGTAAGGAGTCTGGGTTTTACTGGGATTGTGCCAGAAGTGTTTTGAGGTCTTCGAACAGGGGAGTGATGTATGATCTGATTTAAGTGTTAGCAAGATCTACGTAGAAAGTATGGGGGAAGTGGGGCAGACGTGGTATCCACTGGAGGTCAAATACAGTGGACGCGAGTGACTTGGACGCCCGTGGCAGCTATGGACAGGGTGACACACGGTCTGATTTGGGATTTACTTTGGGACCTAGCGTGGGATGTATTTTGGATACTTTGGAGGTAAAGCCAACAGGGTCCACTGGTAGCTTGGATGTGGAGTGTGCAGGAAATAGAGACTAAGGATAGCCCTCTGGCCAGCAGCTGGATTGGGGGGCGGGGGGTTTACTGAGATGAGAAAGTTTGAGGGGAGCATGAGTCGGGGAGACGGGTAGCATTAACAGTTCAGTCTCAGCCGTGTTATATTTAAATGTCTATCAAACATTCAAGCAGGAAGTGAGTAGGTGGTTGGCTATAAGGACCCGGACTTCAGGAAAAGGCCAATGTCAGAGGCATAAATTTAGGAGTGTAGATTTGGGTGTTCGGATGATATTAAAAAGCATCATACCTGGATAAACTCCTCTAGGAAGAAAGCGTAGACATAGAAGAGGGGGCTAAGTACAGCATCGTGGGGACTCCAGCATCTAGGGGTCTGAGAGAGAAATAAGAACAGTCACAGGAGACTTAGAAAGACCAGCTGATAAAGTACAAGGAAAACCAGATGAAGGGGGCATTGGGGAGCCTTAAGGAAGAAAATGTTTCAAGGAGACGGTCGTCAATATCAAATGCAGCTGAGAAATCG